GGGGGTGGTGGGGGGGGGGGGGGGGGGGGGGGGGGGGGGGGGGGGGGGGGGGGGCAGGGCCCAGACAGATTAGGTTGATGGTTCACTCTAAACTGACAGCAGGTGTGAATGTGAGAGGTATATTTTTCTCCACGTTAGAAGCAGAGGTTAATACCCCCACTCTGGGTAATAACGGGGCTGGTTGAAGATCAAGTATATACATGAAAGTACTTCTAAATACACAGATCGGTGACAGCGGCTGTTGAACGGCATCATGGGTAATATGTCTAACCATTAGCGGTCGTGTCAGGTGGGAACACGTTACTGTAGCAGAGGAGCTAACGTCGTGATCGTACGTGGTTCATCAATGAATCAATTCCATTCAACTGACGCCAGTGATGTCATTCACCAGTGATGTCATTCACCAGTGATGTCATTCACCCGTGATGTCATTCACCCGTGATGTCCTGACTGCTGGTCCTTCAACATCCAAGGACCAGGAGCAGTCACCAGAGGGGACAGAAACCCTCCAGGAACCACAGGTTTGTGAGGTGAAGGACGACGAGGACGACGCGCGTGTGTGCGTGTGTGTGCGTGAGCGTGGATTGACCGTGACGTGACCGTGAAATCCCAGCAGAATGAGAAACGGAATTGGAAAATGAGGTGACGGTCGGTGGATTGAATCTGGAATTAAAGGAGTCGGAGTGAAAATAAAATGATGGAAAACGAGAAAAAGAAAAAAACAAATATTAAAACAGATCAGAGATCATCGCTGTGAGTGAGAGTAGAACTGGATGATGTTAAAAACACCAGTCACCACATGAGTCAAAAAGTCCTCAGACAGCTGCCTGTGTGTGTGTGTGTGTGTGTGGGTGTTGATGAGTGAAAACCAGTCCAGACTGGTCTGTGTGTCACCAACAGCTCTGACCAGTTTCATCATCATCATCTTTGTCAAGTGTTGAGTTTAAAGCTGCCTGTGTGAACCACACCACTGTACTGCTGGTTAACCAGCAGGTTAGTTAGTTAGTTAGTTAGTTAGTTAGTGACACCAGCAGCTCTGGGAATGAATCACCGACAGTTTAACAAAGTTCAAACACGTCCAGTCACCAGCCCGACATGAAGAAGAAAACGACGGGCACAGCTCCGTCCGACCGCTGATCCGTCCGACCGCTGCAGTCGTTAATCAGACGGATCAGCACCGAGGCAGTGGGTGGAGGTGGATTTAGCTGCTGTTTGGTGCCATCGCACAGTGGGGGGACTTCCTGTCCAGATGACTCCTTCTGCAGCCAACATGATGAG